CAGGAGCATCGGCAGCAGGAGCAATGGCAGTGCCAGGCACGTAATCAAACAGTGAAACGCCCTCTTTGGCATCGGTCAGAAGGAACAGTTGGAGATCATCTAACCACACAGTGAACTCTATGGGGCGACCGTCAGGCTCGAACGCGAGAACGTTAGGCATCGTCATAATGGCAGTAGGCAGAGGCAGGAGGCAACAGGCAGCAGACAAGAGGCAGCAGGCACCAGGCCACAAGCAAAGGCAGAGGCAACACGCAGCAGGCAGGAGACAGCAGGCAGCAGGAAGGAGACAGCAGGCAACAGGCAGCAGCGGCCGCATGCGAGCTCCTAAGGCATCGCGTTAAGCAGCTGCAGGCCGCGCAGGCGGCAAACGCGACGCGCGGCGCAGCGGCGGGCCGCACTGGCGACAGACGCGGCGCGCGGGGCGACGGCAGACTGCGCGCGGCGTCGGGCTATGCGGGCTCTACGCGGGCTGCGCGGGCTCTACGCGGGCTGCGCGGGCAACGCGGGCCGGGGCGCGGCGCTACAGCAGCGGCGCCCGCTAAAAACAGTGGCGCGCACGCTAGTAGGCGAGGCGCGCGCGAAAAAAAAGTGACGCGCGCTGCAGCTAAAGCGCGCGCGGGCAGCAGGCCCCCAGAAGTCAGACTTTTTTGTCTGATTTGCTTGTTTTAGTCTGAGATTTCAGACTTTTTTTAGGGTGTACTCTGTAAAATTCAGAGTTTTTATTGTCTCAACTATGTGAAAATCAGATTTTTCTCTAGGCTGACTCTGACGTTTCAGAGTTTTCCGGGAGTGTACTCTGATGAATTCAGAGTTCAAACGAGTTCCGACTCTGAATGAATCTACCTGCGCGCCGACACCCAGGATTAGCTGTGGTACATACATTGTACCTGTACCGCCGCCCTGCGGCCCGATGTTTCCCTCGTACAGCTGGATGTTTCACCCGCCCTGCGGCGCGTTCTTTCCCTCGGTGTAAGATGCTGCAGTAGTTGCCATGCCACCCACGTAAACATCCACACCACACACTGCAACGATGCGCCTCATCGTTGCCGTGCATGGTAGGCAACCACCCACACAACTCAATGATGGCCCATCTTGGTAAAGGGCCTTCGTGTTTGTGCTAGGGTTTCATCCACACCCCTCAGCTACATCTCACGGGCCCAAGCCAGTGCCCCGTTTTGCCTCAGCCATCATCTCTGTAGTTAGTTCCTGCTCGGCAGGCTCTTTCAGAGCCCCGCCATGGCGGTGCTGGACAATCCCGCCACAGGCGACGACGACCCTGATGAGCGGCTTGCCTTAACAGGCTTGGACACCGTGGCTGAGCATCTCGGTCGAAGTGGGCCATAGCATCAGCGGTTCATGGGGCTGCAGGAAGTCTTCACCTCCACCTCACTGGAGCTGCAAGGGATCCATGCAGTCCGTTGGCTTTCGCGGGGCGACGCAGTGCTCAGACTCGTCGCCGTCCTTCCGGCTCTCATCGTGATGTTGAAGAAGTGGGACGCGATGCTCTATGCGCTGGTGACGAGCTACAGGTTTCATTTCCTCCTGTTTTTCATTGCAGATGTGCTTGAGCAGCTGAACATACTCAACAGGGCATTCCAACACAAGCAGGTAAGCTCTGGTTTCTTGTTACTAGTTAAGTCTTAGTGCTAATGCCGGCTTCGTTTCTTCTAACCTTAGTCACTAACCACATGTCCACGTGTTTTTTTCCAGCTTGATTATGCCAGCGTGCATGCGCCGATCAAGCGTACAACATCCCACATCGAGAGCCGCTACGTCGACTGCGGAGACAACTTCGGAGGCGGCGTCAGCGAGCTGCTGTCCCCCTTCATCGCGCGCCATGGGTCTGGAGGAAACCGGGAGGTGAAGGTTGAAGGGATTGATTCCGACGGCCGACCAGCACGCTTCAAATTCGTGCTGCACGAGGACGAGATGGAGGAGTTTGAAGGGCCCGGCACCCACGTTGGCTGTGTGGAGGTTTGCACAGAGTTTGCCAAGGTGATCGTGCACCAACTGGAGCACCGGCTTGGCGACCTGAACGGGATGTCCGGCGCTATGCTCTTCACCCCCGACGAGTACCCGCTGGAGCGTGGAGAGAGGAACCGCAGGTGCCTCGAGTGGCTTCGGTCGCTTGTCACGCTGTTCAAGGCCGACCTGACGGATGAGATCCTGCCAGGTAAGCCATTAAGCAGCTTGGTTTTAATATCAGGCTACCCCGATGCATCGTTTGTATTGCATGTCGCTTCAATTAATGTTTGAATTTGGGTTCTGAGCTTGCTCCTCCTGTTTTACTTCCTATCCCGTCAGGAATTGACAAGCGCCGCGCAGAGGAGGAGCTGCGCATGTTCACTTCGGTGCTTGCAGCATCTACCAAGGGCGAGCGCAGTTTTCACGCGGGTCTCACTGCCATGCTCAAGACTCCCGACTGGCGGGAGAACTATCCCAACCTGGTGCTCCTGTGGGTGGCGGTTGCTGTATTGCCGCTGAGCACCGTGGAGTGCGAGCGGGGGTTCTCCCGCCAAAACATTATTAAGTCGTGGAAGAGGGGCGCGCTCAAGGATGCTCGCCTGGGGGACCTTATGTGCATGAGCTTGATGGATTACGCCCCCAACTGGGACGAGATTGTGAAAGTCTGGAGGAGTTACAAGAAGCGCAAGCCCCAGAGCAACGCTCTACTCCCGCCTGCAGGAAAGCAACACAACAAGAAGGACAGGGAGGCAGATGAAGAGATGGATGTAGTAGTTGACCTAAAAGATGAGCAGGATGCAGTTGAATCCGATGATGATGATGGATTTAATGAGTAGGAGTCTAGGAGAGGAGGATTAGTAGGATGTAGTAGTGCTAGGATACATGAATAGGGTAGTTCTAGCTGGGAGCTAATCAAAGAAAGGTAGCATTTTGTATGTAGGCTTTTGCAATGTACGTTACGTAGTTCAAACAAGTCAAAGAGTTCAGCAAGACAGCTAGAAAGACGATCAGACTTGATAGGCGGGTGATTCTGAATCTTTCAGACTTTTATTTTAGGGAACTCTAAACTATCAGCCTTTTTTTTTTTTGCAACTTTGTCAGATTCAGACTACAACTTTGGGAGAGTCTGACGAATCAGACAGGCTAAAAACGAATCTGAGGGCCTGACGGGCAGTAGGCAAGGCAGACAGTTAGGTGGGCCCGATTCGTAGGTCCTAGAGACCTCCTGCTCTGGTTACCATGTTGAAAACTAAGGCAAGTAGGAGTAGATTAGGTGAAGGATTGGGTACAAGACTAGGGTATCGAGAAAGTGTTGTGTACCCCCTAAGGCTATCCCCAATATAGCCTAGACAATGATATGCATATATTTGACACGTCAAGCCTGACGACCCTCTAACGACTTGACGACATGCTGCCCCGGGCAGAAAAAACTAAAACCCTATCGGATGGCATGCCATCCTAGGGAGGCATCAACCCTAAATCCATGCCTCCCTGACAGGATGCATGCCCTTCTGGGGTTTATTTTTTTTGCCCGCGGGCAGCGAGCTCCCCTGGGCGGAGTCACTTGTCCGCTGAGATATATTCGGCGACAAACAATATCGCATCATCACTCAACATATTCTTATCATGGTAGCTCTCCTTTTATTCACCCAGGAAATAAGGACCAGTACAACCTAGAACTGCTGATAGAAGGGAAGGTGATTAAAGCCCGAGTACAGCATGGTATTTTTCAAGTTCAAGATTCTTGAACTTGAAGTCGTAAATAACAGGGTTACCCTCTTTTGTTTGAAAGAACTCTCGCGACCCAGGGAAAACTTAGTGCGACGGTCACTTCTGATTGGTTTCTGTGCCCAGTCGCACAACACATCCGAACATCGCCTACCATGTTGCCGTGGTCACCTCTCACATAACTTGACGACCAAGTGGTACTCCTAATCCACTAGAGTAGGCACGTAACTAAAAAACGCGCGGCACAGCGATAGAAGCTAGTTTAGGTAGAAGCGTTTTTTTCCTTCCAGCTCTCGTCACTCCCGCTGTCTTGCCAATAGCTGAGGAGCACCCGCTTCAAGCCAAACACGCTATTACCGTACCATTTTTGCATGCCAGCGACGGGACACCCGTTCTAGTGCACCACAGTCATGGGTCGGCAAAGGCTGCTGGTTACCTCCAATACAACGCCCGTAACGCATTGGCCAGCATAGCATGGCCCGCCCAACAAAAACTTGGCTTCAGTCTGCCTTCAGGCGTCATCGTCGCCTCGTCCAGACTCCCACACTTAGTATGTGGCGAGTGCATCACCTCATCGCCCGTGCTTCCCTTGCGATTCCCTCAACCCCACGTTACGAGAGCTTCTGCACTCGCGCATGCACTCGTCGCCCGCGCGTCCCTTGTCGCGCAATGTTTCACTCGTCGCAAGCGTTTCCCTCGTCACGCCAGGTTGTCCTTGTCTCCCACGCTCACCCGCGCTTCCCACGCTTACCCACGTTTCCCGCGCTCTCCAGCGACACCCGCGCTTACCCTCGTCACCCGCGCTTACCCGTGTCATCCCCACTTACCCGCGCTTATCCGCGTTTCCCGCGCTTACCCGAGGTCACCCGCGCTTACCCGCATCATCACTGCTCGCGTCTCGCACTCTTTCCCGCGTCTGAAACGCTTACTCGAGTCTCCCGCACTTACCCTCGTCTCTTGCGTTGCTCCTCAACGCCCTCGCCTCCCGTTGTCGCCTCAGTTTCCCCCATCCACACGCATCTCCCCTTATCGCCCATGTCTACCCAAGTCGCCTCTCCCCGTCGTTAGCGAAGGCCCCCACACACCACTCGCATTCTCCCCATTTGTCCGCCTCCTTTCCCCCCCACACACTACGCGCATTTTCCCCCACTTGTCCGCCTCCTTTCCCCCCCTCACACCACGCGCATTCCCCCCTCTTGTCCGCCTCCTTTTCCCCCCCTCACACCACGCGCATTCCCCCCACTGGTCCACCTCCTTTCCCCCCCGCACACCACCAGCATCCCCCCCACTTGTCAGAGGGCGAGAGACTAAGTGGGAGGGACATAGAGGAAGGGAAAGAGGGGGAGTGAAGGAGGGGTAGGGACGAAAGTGCAGGGACGAGAGGGGAGGGATAGTGGGGGAGGGACAGAGGGGCAGGGACAGAGGGGGAGGGACAGAGGGGAGGGAACGAGGGGGAGGGACAGAGGGGGAGGGACAGAGGGGAGGAAAGAAGGGGAAGGACAGAAGTGGAAGTTCAAGGGGGAGAGGGTGGAGGACAGATGGGGAGAGACAGAGGGGGGAGGTACAGGGGGGGGGACAGGGGGGGAGAGACATAGGGGGAAGGGCAAAGGGGGAGAGACAGAGGGGGAAGGACACAGGTGGAGTGACAGATGGTGAAGGGCAGAGGGGGGGAGACAGAAGGGGATTGACGGAGGGGGAGGATAAGAGGGGGAGGGGCACAGAGGGGGAAGGACAGAGGGTGAGAGCGGGTACTTCCCTCACTCCCTCTCCTCGTCGACCTCACTTCCCCAGGCTTGTTTACACCCCTCTTTATTTTGACCATCCTCCCTTTCTCCCACCACCTCTGTTTACCCCACAGTCTATTCTCCTTTGCCTCACCTGCCACTCCCCCCTTCCTCCTCCCTGCTTCCCCCCTCCCTCCTTCCTGCTTCCCCCCTCCCTCCTTCCTGCTTCCCCCCTCCCTCATCCATGCTTCCCCCCTCCCTCCTTCATGCTTCCCCTCGTCCCCTCCCCCTTTTTCCCCCATCCCCTTCCCTGCTTCCCTCCATCCCCTTCCCTGCTTTCCCCCATCCCCTACCCTGCTTCCCCCCATCCCCCTCCCTGCTTCCCCCCATCCCCTTCCCTGCTTCCCCCCATCCCCTTCCCTGCTTCCCCCCCCATCCTCTCCCTCCCCATGTACAATCTCCTTTCATACTCCCCACTCCTCTCATACCCCCCACTCCTTTCATACTCCTTTGCCTCACCTGCCACTCCCCCCTTCCTCCTCCTTGCTTCCCCCCTCCCTCCTTCCTGCTTCCCCCCTCCCTCCTTCCTGCTTCCCCCCTCCCTCCTCCATGCTTCCCCTCTCCCTCCTTCATGCTTCCCCTCGTCCCCTCCCCCTTTTTCCCCCATCCCCTTCCCTGCTTCCCTCCATCCCCTTCCCTGCTTTCCCCCATCCCCTACCCTGCTTCCCCCCATCCCCCTCCCTGCTTCCCCCCATCCCCTTCCCTGCTTCCCCCCCCATCCTCTCCCTCCCCATGTACAATCTCCTTTCATACTCCCCACTCCTCTCATACCCCCCACTCCTCTCATACTCCTTTGCCTCACCTGCCACTCCCCCCTTCCTCCTCCCTGCTTCCCCCCTCCCTCCTTCCTGCTTCCCCCCTCCCTCCTTCCTGCTTCCCCCCTCCCTCCTCCATGCTTCCCCCCTCCCTCCTTCATGCTTCCCCTCGTCCCCTCCCCCTTTTTCCCCCATCCCCTTCCCTGCTTCCCTCCATCCCCTTCCCTGCTTTCCCCAATCCCCTACCCTGCTTCCCCACCCATCCTCTCCCTCCCCATGTACAACCTCCCTGCTCCTCTCATATCCCTACACCCTTGTTCCAAACTTCCCACTCCCTTCATATCACCCACTCCTGAAATACCCACCGCTAATGTGAATTCAAATTGTCACTGTTTCGTCTGGTCCCGCTTTCCACCTATGCACTGCTTCCCACGCTTGCACCCCTGCTTTCCGCCCTTGCACCCCTGCTTCCCACCCTTGCACCCCAGCTTCCCACCCTTGCACCCCTGCTTCTCCCCCTTGCACCCCTGCTTTCCACCCTTGCACCCCTGCTTTCCACCTTTGCACCCCTGCTGTCAGCCCTTGCACCCCTGCTGTCAGCCCTTGCACCGCTGCTGTCAGCCCTTGCACTCCTGCTTTTCTGCTTCAAGAGCAGCAGCAAGTCCCTCCAGAGATCCTATAGCTGCCACTGGTTCGTCTGCTCCTACTCTGAGCTACTACCGGTAAAATTTTGAGCCCTCAAGTCGTGCGCCTTCTATCCCACCCATGCATCTGCCATGTGTTGGCAGGCTAACTGGTGTGTCGATTCCAGTACTGTGGCTCACTTCACTGCGCATTGTGAACGAGGTCCTTGTGAAATGCAAGTATAAGCCATCCTGAAGTAGTGTACATTGGATGCCAAGTGGTTACCTAGGCAATAATTTGCACTAAAGTGCCAACAGAGCTGGGCACTGACACCTTTGGAGTAAGATAATGGTGAAAGAATATCATGGATGTATCCTTTTTGGGATACCAAACAATCTAGTGCCCTAAGCAGAATGGAACATGAGCTGGATAAGGGTCTCAAGAATCGAAGCAATGGAGTAGTTTCACCGGGCTAACTTCATCCACACGTATATTGCAACTATAATATGTGCAAGTATATTTCGCAAAGAAGCATGATTAGGTTTAGGACAGAACGGCATAGTCCTCCACACACATGCAAGCATGACATGTTCAAGACCAAATTAGCACAGTGGGGATGGAAACACAACCCCATTTATTCATCCTGACCAGCCACCCACACCTCCACTTCCTCCCCGTCATAGTGGCCTGCTAGCCACCACTCATCACTATCGTCGCTCCACTCCTCCGCATCTTTGTTCACTGCGTCTGCCACATCATCCACTTGATCCGATGGCAATTCCGCCTTATCCCTCTCACAGTGGTAACCTGCAGCTATTGCCAATGAGATGGAGGATAAGCCAGAATTTAGAGTGGTGTCCCTGTAGCTATGAATAATCTCAATCGCAGAGCATGGCAGGGCATGCCTGGAGGGGGGAGGGAGAAGGGCGGAGCGGAGCATGACAGGGGAGGGCAGGGCAGGGCATGGCATGGCATGGGAGAGGCATGGCATGGCATGGGAGAGGCATGGCATGACGCGGATGGTGCAGACAAGGGCCGGGCGGGCCATGAGAAAGCAGGGCAGGGCATGCCTGGAGGGGGGAGGGAGAAGGGCGGAGCGGAGCATGACAGGGGAGGGCAGGGCAGGGCATGGCATGGCATGGGAGAGGCATGGCATGGCATGGGAGAGGCATGGCATGACGCGGATGGTGCAGACAAGGGCAGGGCGGGCCATGAGAAAGCAGGGCAGGCATGGCCCCTATAGTCATGGCATCGCAGAAAAATGAGGGTGCTGACAAGGGCGGGGCGGGGCGGGACAGGGCATTGCAGGGCAGGACATGGCAGGGCAGGGCAGGGCAGATCAGGGCATGACAGGGCAGGGCAGGGGAGGGCAGGGCAGGGTAGGGCATGACAGGGCATGGCAGGGCAGGGCATGGTAGGGAATGGGAGATCTGAGCAGGCCAAGTTATAGCATGGTGGGCGATGGGTGTTTGTCAAATACCTTTGGGGGGGTCGATTGTCGTGGTGGGCGTCGTGGTGGTTCTGCGTGATGCCGAGCAAGCCTCGCGCGGGTTTGAAAGCTCGCCTGATATTCGCCTTGGGCACTTAGCGTGGGAGGTTCGACACATCACCTATAAGCAACATACAGATGGGTTGGAAGACGCGGATGGTGAACACATTACGCTGGCTAGAATGTTTACGTCGAGTATGAGCCATACTGAGCAATCACAACTCACGTTGCGCTGCCGTTGCTTACCCAAACGACGGCGAGCAGATCCACGAGACGTGCCGCACACCGGACCGAACCCGCCTTGGCGCACTGGTGTCACTGGCTCAAGAACAGATGCTATGGGCTGTGCGACCGATGCATCGACCAGCTGCGCAGTCGTTGCTGTTGATTCAGGCATCTTGTCAACATCCACATTATCTCCATGCCGCAGTGTTCGTTGCCATTCCTCCATGATGCCATCAACCCAAGCCCAATCCATTTTAGTCAAGATGCGCTCCTTGGATCCGCGCCTGATCCTCGTCACCTGTCGGACTCTAGTGCGATAGGCGGTCACCAGGCGATCCATGCCGTGATTCCAATGAAGAACCGCGAGACCGACTCGTGCCGGGAAGCTGCCTTGAAACCGTATCCGCTTAGGTGCATATTTGATGATCAAAGAATGGAAAGACTCGTTCATAGAACTGGACGCGCCATGCACAAAGGACTTAACCTACTCAGAGCTTAAGTGCTTGGAGAACCATGCACAAACCGCCTTGTGTGTCGACGACCCAAACTCATATATGGCATGGTCCTTGCCCCACCCCTCTCTGACGCAGCGAGGTGGGGTCTCTCCTACCCCAGTACAGCCGGAGTGGTCACCGGCCCAGTGGTTGGGTGGGCTCCCAAGCTCCCTCGCCACGTCGGTCGGGGTCATAGGATGCCCCTCTTTCTTCTTCGCACCACATCGCACCATCACGTGATAGAAATGAGTGGATAAGCGTTGTGCCACTGTTTGTTCCTCCTTGCCAGAATCGATTTGATCTTCACCTCGTTTCCGCTTTCGGCGACCAGTCCACCGAGGTAGTGTCTCGGGCTCGCTGAACGCATTAGGGTTCTGCACTTCGGTATCAGCCCCGACTCCATCTAGCGCATCTGTGAATGTTAGAAAACGAGATACGAAAACTGAGTATAGAGTAGCACTTGGATCATGCATGCCCAATACGCGGAGAACACACAAAAGTGGCCGCATGTGGACTGAAATGTTGACCGTTCCTCTCTGAGCATCCTTACATGCTTGTATTGCAGGATGCTCTCCCGCACCTACACCAACCCCTGCCATCTGAAACCATGTCAGCGCATACCCCGAGGAGAGGAAGGAGATGGGTGGTTAGGGCGTTGGCACAGCAGGGACAAGGATTAGGGCATCTATAGATGTCTGCAGAAATGTGCAAATGCACGTCATGCAGCACCGAGCGGTGAGTGCACGCAATAGAGAAAGGGCCCAAAGCACCAGCAACTCTGGTGGCTGCTGCCTGGGGACTGAACAGGTGGAGGCATGGTCCTGAAACCAGGCCCAAGGCAGCAGCATCCAGAGATGCTGCTGCCTTGGGACTGAACAGGTGGGTTTAAAATGGTGAAAGCAAGCCCAAGGCAGCAGCATCCAAAGTTGCTGCTGCCTTGGGACAGAACAGGTGGGTTTACAGTTGTGAAAGCAAGCCCAAGGCAGCAGCATCCAAAATTGCTGCTGCCTTGGGACGGAACAGGTGGGTTTACAGTGGTGAAAGCAAGCCCAAGGCAGTAGCAACTCTGGTTGTTGCTGCCTGGGGACTGAACGGGTGGGTGCATGGTGCTGAAACCAGGCCCAAGGCAGCAGCATCCAAAGCTGCTGCTGCCTTGGGACTGTTCAGGTGGGTTTACAGTGGTGAAAGCAAGCCCAAGGCAACAGCAGCTCTGGTTGTTGCTGCCTGGGGACTGAACAGGTGGAGGCATGGTGCTGAAACCAGGCCCAAGGCAGCAGCATCCAGAGATGCTGCTGCCTTGGGACTGAACAGAGGGGTTTACAATGGTGAAAGCAAGCCCAAGGCAGCAGCATCCAAAGCTGCTGCTGCCTTGGGACTGAGCAGGTGGGTTTACAGTGGTGAAAGCAAGCCCAAGGCAGCAGCAACTCTGGTTGTTGCTGCCTGGGGACTGAACGGGTGGGTGCTTGGTGCTGAAACCAGGCCCAAGGCGGCAGCATCCAGAGATGCAGCTGCGTTGGGATAGAACAGGTGGGTTTACAGTGGTGAAAGCAAGCCCAAGGCAGCAGCAACTCTGGTTGTTGCTGCCTGGGGACTGAACAGGTGGAGGCATGGTGCTGAAACCAGGCCCAAGGCAGCAGCATCCAGAGATGCTGCTGCCTTGGGACTGAACAGGTGGGTTTAAAATGGTGGAAGCAAGCCCAAGGCAGCAGCATCCAAAGTTGCTGCTGCCTTGGGACGGAACAGGTGGGTTTACAGTGGTGAAAGCAAGCCCAAGGCAGTAGCAACTCTGGTTGTTGCTGCCTGGGGACTTAACGGGTGGGTGCATGGTGCTGAAACCAGGCCCAAGGCAGCAGCATCCAAAGCTGCTGCTGCCTTGGGACTGAACAGGTGGGTTTACAGTGGTGAAAGCAAGCCCAAGGCAGCAGCAACTCTGGTTGTTGCTGCCTGGGGACTGAACAGGTGGAGGCATGGTGCTGAAACCAGGCCCAAGGCAGCAGCATCCAGAGATGCTGCTGCCTTGGGACTGAACAGGTGGGTTTAAAATGGTGAAAGCAAGCCCAAGGCAGCAGCATCCAAAGTTGCTGCTGCCTTGGGACAGAACAGGTGGGTTTACGGTGGTGAAAGCAAGCCCAAGGCAGTAGCAACTCTGGTTGTTGCTGCATGGGGACTGAATGGGTGGGTGCATGGTGCTGAAACCAGGCCCAAGGCAGCTGCATCCAGAGATGCTGCTGCCTTGGGATAGAACAGGTGGGTTTACAGTGGTGAAAGCAAACCCAAGGCAGCAGCAACTCTGGTTGTTGCTGCCTGGGGACTGAACAGGTGGAGGCATGGTGCTGAAACCAGGCCCAAGGCAGCAGCATCCAGAGATGCTGCTGCCTTGGGACTGAACAGGTGGGTTTAAAATGGTGGAAGGAAGCCCAAGGCAGCAGCATCCAAATTTGCTGCTGCCTTGGGACGGAACAGGTGGGTTTACAGTGGTGAAAGCAAGCCCAAGGCAGTAGCAACTCTGGTTGTTGCTGCCTGGGGACTGAACGGGTGGGTGCTTGGTGCTGAAACCAGGCCCAAGGCGGCAGCATCCAGAGATGCTGCTGCGTTGGGATAGAACAGGTGGGTTTACAGTGGTGAAAGCAAGCCCAAGGCAGCAGCAACTCTGGTTGTTGCTGCCTGGGGACTGAACAGGTGGAGGCATGGTGCTGAAACCAGGCCCAAGGCAGCAGCATCCAGAGATGCTGCTGCCTTGGGACTGAACAGGTGGGTTTAAAATGGTGAAAGCAAGCCCAAGGCAGCAGCATCCAAAGTTGCTGCTGCCTTGGGACAGAACAGGTGGGTTTACAGTTGTGAAAGCAAGCCCAAGGCAGCAGCATCCAAAATTGCTGCTGCCTTGGGACGGAACAGGTGGGTTTACAGTGGTGAAAGCAAGCCCAAGGCAGTAGCAACTCTGGTTGTTGCTGCCTGGGGACTGAACGGGTGGGTGCATGGTGCTGAAACCAGGCCCAAGGCAGCAGCATCCAAAGCTGCTGCTGCCTTGGGACTGTTCAGGTGGGTTTACAGTGGTGAAAGCAAGCCCAAGGCAACAGCAGCTCTGGTTGTTGCTGCCTGGGGACTGAACAGGTGGAGGCATGGTGCTGAAACCAGGCCCAAGGCAGCAGCATCCAGAGATGCTGCTGCCTTGGGACTGAACAGAGGGGTTTACAATGGTGAAAGCAAGCCCAAGGCAGCAGCATCCAAAGCTGCTGCTGCCTTGGGACTGAGCAGGTGGGTTTACAGTGGTGAAAGCAAGCCCAAGGCAGCAGCAACTCTGGTTGTTGCTGCCTGGGGACTGAACGGGTGGGTGCTTGGTGCTGAAACCAGGCCCAAGGCGGCAGCATCCAGAGATGCAGCTGCGTTGGGATAGAACAGGTGGGTTTACAGTGGTGAAAGCAAGCCCAAGGCAGCAGCAACTCTGGTTGTTGCTGCCTGGGGACTGAACAGGTGGAGGCATGGTGCTGAAACCAGGCCCAAGGCAGCAGCATCCAGAGATGCTGCTGCCTTGGGACTGAACAGGTGGGTTTAAAATGGTGGAAGCAAGCCCAAGGCAGCAGCATCCAAAGTTGCTGCTGCCTTGGGACGGAACAGGTGGGTTTACAGTGGTGAAAGCAAGCCCAAGGCAGTAGCAACTCTGGTTGTTGCTGCCTGGGGACTTAACGGGTGGGTGCATGGTGCTGAAACCAGGCCCAAGGCAGCAGCATCCAAAGCTGCTGCTGCCTTGGGACTGAACAGGTGGGTTTACAGTGGTGAAAGCAAGCCCAAGGCAGCAGCAACTCTGGTTGTTGCTGCCTGGGGACTGAACAGGTGGAGGCATGGTGCTGAAACCAGGCCCAAGGCAGCAGCATCCAGAGATGCTGCTGCCTTGGGACTGAACAGGTGGGTTTAAAATGGTGAAAGCAAGCCCAAGGCAGCAGCATCCAAAGTTGCTGCTGCCTTGGGACAGAACAGGTGGGTTTACGGTGGTGAAAGCAAGCCCAAGGCAGTAGCAACTCTGGTTGTTGCTGCATGGGGACTGAATGGGTGGGTGCATGGTGCTGAAACCAGGCCCAAGGCAGCTGCATCCAGAGATGCTGCTGCCTTGGGATAGAACAGGTGGGTTTACAGTGGTGAAAGCAAACCCAAGGCAGCAGCAACTCTGGTTGTTGCTGCCTGGGGACTGAACAGGTGGAGGCATGGTGCTGAAACCAGGCCCAAGGCAGCAGCATCCAGAGATGCTGCTGCCTTGGGACTGAACAGGTGGGTTTAAAATGGTGGAAGGAAGCCCAAGGCAGCAGCATCCAAATTTGCTGCTGCCTTGGGACGGAACAGGTGGGTTTACAGTGGTGAAAGCAAGCCCAAGGCAGTAGCAACTCTGGTTGTTGCTGCCTGGGGACTGAACGGGTGGGTGCTTGGTGCTGAAACCAGGCCCAAGGCGGCAGCATCCAGAGATGCTGCTGCGTTGGGATAGAACAGGTGGGTTTACAGTGGTGAAAGCAAGCCCAAGGCAGCAGCAACTCTGGTTGTTGCTGCCTGGGGACTGAACAGGTGGAGGCATGGTGCTGAAACCAGGCCCAAGGCAGCAGCATCCAGAGATGCTGCTGCCTTGGGACTGAACAGGTGGGTTTAAAATGGTGAAAGCAAGCCCAAGGCAGCAGCATCCAAAGTTGCTGCTGCCTTGGGACAGAACAGGTGGGTTTACAGTTGTGAAAGCAAGCCCAAGGCAGCAGCATCCAAAATTGCTGCTGCCTTGGGACGGAACAGGTGGGTTTACAGTGGTGAAAGCAAGCCCAAGGCAGTAGCAACTCTGGTTGTTGCTGCCTGGGGACTGAACGGGTGGGTGCATGGTGCTGAAACCAGGCCCAAGGCAGCAGCATCCAAAGCTGCTGCTGCCTTGGGACTGTTCAGGTGGGTTTACAGTGGTGAAAGCAAGCCCAAGGCAACAGCAGCTCTGGTTGTTGCTGCCTGGGGACTGAACAGGTGGAGGCATGGTGCTGAAACCAGGCCCAAGGCAGCAGCATCCAGAGATGCTGCTGCCTTGGGACTGAACAGAGGGGTTTACAATGGTGAAAGCAAGCCCAAGGCAGCAGCATCCAAAGCTGCTGCTGCCTTGGGACTGAGCAGGTGGGTTTACAGTGGTGAAAGCAAGCCCAAGGCAGCAGCAACTCTGGTTGTTGCTGCCTGGGGACTGAACGGGTGGGTGCTTGGTGCTGAAACCAGGCCCAAGGCGGCAGCATCCAGAGATGCAGCTGCGTTGGGATAGAACAGGTGGGTTTACAGTGGTGAAAGCAAGCCCAAGGCAGCAGCAACTCTGGTTGTTGCTGCCTGGGGACTGAACAGGTGGAGGCATGGTGCTGAAACCAGGCCCAAGGCAGCAGCATCCAGAGATGCTGCTGCCTTGGGACTGAACAGGTGGGTTTAAAATGGTGGAAGCAAGCCCAAGGCAGCAGCATCCAAAGTTGCTGCTGCCTTGGGACGGAACAGGTGGGTTTACAGTGGTGAAAGCAAGCCCAAGGCAGTAGCAACTCTGGTTGTTGCTGCCTGGGGACTTAACGGGTGGGTGCATGGTGCTGAAACCAGGCCCAAGGCAGCAGCATCCAAAGCTGCTGCTGCCTTGGGACTGAACAGGTGGGTTTACAGTGGTGAAAGCAAGCCCAAGGCAGCAGCAACTCTGGTTGTTGCTGCCTGGGGACTGAACAGGTGGAGGCATGGTGCTGAAACCAGGCCCAAGGCAGCAGCATCCAGAGATGCTGCTGCCTTGGGACTGAACAGGTGGGTTTAAAATGGTGAAAGCAAGCCCAAGGCAGCAGCATCCAAAGTTGCTGCTGCCTTGGGACAGAACAGGTGGGTTTACGGTGGTGAAAGCAAGCCCAAGGCAGTAGCAACTCTGGTTGTTGCTGCATGGGGACTGAATGGGTGGGTGCATGGTGCTGAAACCAGGCCCAAGGCAGCTGCATCCAGAGATGCTGCTGCCTTGGGATAGAACAGGTGGGTTTACAGTGGTGAAAGCAAACCCAAGGCAGCAGCAACTCTGGTTGTTGCTGCCTGGGGACTGAACAGGTGGAGGCATGGTGCTGAAACCAGGCCCAAGGCAGCAGCATCCAGAGATGCTGCTGCCTTGGGACTGAACAGGTGGGTTTAAAATGGTGGAAGGAAGCCCAAGGCAGCAGCATCCAAATTTGCTGCTGCCTTGGGACGGAACAGGTGGGTTTACAGTGGTGAAAGCAAGCCCAAGGCAGTAGCAACTCTGGTTGTTGCTGCCTGGGGACTGAACGGGTGGGTGCTTGGTGCTGAAACCAGGCCCAAGGCGGCAGCATCCAGAGATGCTGCTGCGTTGGGATAGAACAGGTGGGTTTACAGTGGTGAAAGCAAGCCCAAGGCAGCAGCAACTCTGGTTGTTGCTGCCTGGGGACTGAACAGGTGGAGGCATGGTGCTGAAACCAGGCCCAAGGCAGCAGCATCCAGAGATGCTGCTGCCTTGGGACTGAACAGGTGGGTTTAAAATGGTGAAAGCAAGCCCAAGGCAGCAGCATCCAAAGTTGCTGCTGCCTTGGGACAGAACAGGTGGGTTTACAGTTGTGAAAGCAAGCCCAAGGCAGCAGCATCCAAAATTGCTGCTGCCTTGGGACGGAACAGGTGGGTTTACAGTGGTGAAAGCAAGCCCAAGGCAGTAGCAACTCTGGTTGTTGCTGCCTGGGGACTGAACGGGTGGGTGCATGGTGCTGAAACCAGGCCCAAGGCAGCAGCATCCAAAGCTGCTGCTGCCTTGGGACTGTTCAGGTGGGTTTACAGTGGTGAAAGCAAGCCCAAGGCAACAGCAGCTCTGGTTGTTGCTGCCTGGGGACTGAACAGGTGGAGGCATGGTGCTGAAACCAGGCCCAAGGCAGCAGCATCCAGAGATGCTGCTGCCTTGGGACTGAACAGAGGGGTTTACAATGGTGAAAGCAAGCCCAAGGCAGCAGCATCCAAAGCTGCTGCTGCCTTGGGACTGAGCAGGTGGGTTTACAGTGGTGAAAGCAAGCCCAAGGCAGCAGCAACTCTGGTTGTTGCTGCCTGGGGACTGAACGGGTGGGTGCTTGGTGCTGAAACCAGGCCCAAGGCGGCAGCATCCAGAGATGCAGCTGCGTTGGGATAGAACAGGTGGGTTTACAGTGGTGAAAGCAAGCCCAAGGCAGCAGCAACTCTGGTTGTTGCTGCCTGGGGACTGAACAGGTGGAGGCATGGTGCTGAAACCAGGCCCAAGGCAGCAGCATCCAGAGATGCTGCTGCCTTGGGACTGAACAGGTGGGTTTAAAATGGTGGAAGCAAGCCCAAGGCAGCAGCATCCAAAGTTGCTGCTGCCTTGGGACGGAACAGGTGGGTTTACAGTGGTGAAAGCAAGCCCAAGGCAGTAGCAACTCTGGTTGTTGCTGCCTGGGGACTTAACGGGTGGGTGCATGGTGCTGAAACCAGGCCCAAGGCAGCAGCATCCAAAGCTGCTGCTGCCTTGGGACTGAACAGGTGGGTTTACAGTGGTGAAAGCAAGCCCAAGGCAGCAGCAACTCTGGTTGTTGCTGCCTGGGGACTGAACAGGTGGAGGCATGGTGCTGAAACCAGGCCCAAGGCAGCAGCATCCAGAGATGCTGCTGCCTTGGGACTGAACAGGTGGGTTTACAATGGTGAAAGCAAGCCCAAGGCAGCAGCATCCAAAGCTGCTGCTGCCTTGGGACTGAACAGGTGGGTTTACATTGGTGAAAGCAAGCCCAAGGCAGCAGCAACTCTGGTTGTTGCTGCCTGGGGACTGAACGGGTGGGTGCATGGTGCTGAAACCAGGCCCAAGGCAGCAGCATCCAGAGATGCTGCTGCCTTGGGACTGAACAGGTGGGTTTACAGTGGTGAAAGCAAGCCCAAGGCAGCAGTAGCAGAGAAATGGGCACTCACCTGGGCTATCCTCTGTAGCGATCCGCAGGGGCGTGTGCTGCACCTTGCTCCCCGCAGTATCCGCTCACGTTGTGCGCGCGGTGGTTGTAGCCAGGTCACCTGGGAGGGCGCGCTTCTCGTCGCCGGGAACGCGGGCTCCGCGTCGCCTGGAACGCGGGCTCCGCGTCGACTGGATGGCGGGATCAGATCCGCCTGAAATGCGAGATCCGCGTCGCGAGGAATGCGGGCTCCGCGTCGCACAGAACGCGAGCAGCTAAATGTGGCGAGCGAGTGCTGCTCGGCGCAAGGTGCGCGAGCCGAATCTAGTCCGCTTTCTTCCCCCTGGCTAGTCACAACGACTCCAATACACTCGTCGTTTCTTGTTGTGCCTAGCTACCCGTAGTCTCCAGTCTGTAATCACGACCTTCTTCCCGTTAGTGCAATCGCGCTTGCACGTTCCTACACTTTGCTGTTGCCAGCTCCTGCGATGGTCGTTACCCAAGTAATGTGGTGTAAGGATCGTGTCGAACACGTCTCTGTTGTGGCGATGAGTAGGTGGCGTTGATAACCTGCACGTGCTTTACTTGCTCTGTTTTTATATTTCCCGTTAGCATTGAGCTGATTCACTGGTGAGGTGACTTCGGGTGAGCAACACTTTCCATGTGAGAGAGGATGTGTGCGACACATTTGTCGCTTTGGGTTGGTGGGATTCGCAGGATTGGTGAGTGCGAAATGTTCACTCGTTTGCGGCGGAAAATTGTTCTCGCCAAGGGCAGCCAACCGAAATAGGCTTCGCAGATCTCGCATACAGCCTATTTCAAATACACATAACTTGATAATTTACCATGCTGACCCCGGGCTTTAAAGAGAAACATTGTACGGTAATAACAACTGTCACAGTACCAAGAGGTGCTAAGCACGAGCGTTGCTTCTACCGGTAGTAAAGACACTCAAGCATTGGGTGTTTAGCGTCAATTTGAACTCCGCGCAGGAAGGCTGCGTGATTTAAAAAATGGCTTCCGAATGCTGATGCGTCGCAATCCACGACCATCTCGTCAACCTCAGCCTTAGGAACTTAGGAAGTGGGTCAACGATTGAAAGCATCGCTTTGCAAGAATGTATCAAAACAAAAGGTCAGTCCCTGACGATTGTTGCCGGAAAAAAGTCCCGATGTCCACACAATTGACCGACCAAACCGCGGACCACCTTCCAGCAGGCCCTTTTCCAGCAAGGCAATCAATCACTGAGCAGCTGCTCGAATGCCAATCTGAGCGACAGTTTTGCAGAATTTCTCCGCCTGTTCCGAGCGAGCAGCTGGAGGCACCTGCTGACAGAACCAAGCAGCTCTGGCAGCCCGCGTGGTGGGGTCCAGGTCTGGCGAGATGAGAGGCATGAGCGCCTGCAGCTGATTCACTGTGACAGCTTGCGTGTCGAGCAGTGAGTTGAGCAGCACTGTCGCCTCCTCCCCTAGCTGCGCTGCCAGCTGATGGAAGCAGGAGGGATGGATAGAACCCGGATGCAAAAATTGGTTTTGGTAGCAATGTGAGGGGGGCCGGGCGAATGCACATGTAAGTTATAGTTTGTGGCATCTGCTGCTGCAGTGCTGCTATGTGCTGGTGCCGGAACTAAATCACATGCTTTCCATTGTGCTACTATTTCTGAACACATCGGTGAACTACCCTTTGAAAATGAGTCTTCCTAGACGTACCTGTTCAGCAGGCGAGCCTGGGACGAGTCTGTTCATGGGGGCGAGAGGCAGCACGAGAGGCACGAGGGCGAGGCCAAAGCCGCCTATGAGCACGGAGCGCACGAACTGCCCCTGATTCAGCTCCGCTGCTGCCTCCTTTACCTCCTTTGCCGTTGCCCCACTGCCCACCTTAGGCTGCTTCAGGGTGAAGGGACGACAAGGAGTGGCAAAGGTGTGAGGATGAGAGTGCTGAGAGGGCTGAAAGCGCTCATACGGCTGACCGGAATATTATACAACGCCATTCGAGCAGCCATGCACCAGCTTCCTCCCAAATCTCCCTCCCCTACTCCCTTTCCCCCCTTATCTCCGTACTCCGAGTTTCCATCCTGCCTGTCTTCACCTCACCTGCACTTGGCTGATGGCAATGCCGCCAGGGGGGATGTCCGAGGCGAACGGTGGCAGCACCACCTCCGCCTCCGCCACTTCCGACTCCCTGCTGCTGCTGCTCGCACCGTTGCCGTCCCCAGAGGCTGCTGCGGCGGCTGCTGCAGCAGCAGGCGAGGCGGACGGGGGGAGGGGCCGCGGCATTACCGAGGCGTTTGAGGTGGGCTTGGCGGACTGGGGGAGGGCGGCTCTGACGAGGGGAGGATGAGGGGAAGGGGCAGATGAAGGGAGATGATAGGAGGGGATGGGCCAGTGGATAATGAGGAAGAAAAAAGCGGTAGAATAAAGTGGATACGGCAACGGGGCATGCGTCACTGTGGCCTACAGCGAAGATGCGCCAGCCTGCCTCATAGTAGGTCTGGTGGTTGGGCTGGAATGACAGTGCATTACTACGCCTTACACGAGGAGATTAATCAGCTCGGCGCGCGTGTCGCCCCGGAGCCCCTTCTCCCGGGCCATGGCGCGCAGCTGCGCCGTGCTCATCGCCTCCAGCGCCTTCGCCGCCTCCGCCTTCCCGCCCTTGCCGCCGCCCTTGCTGCCGGAAACCCCGCTGGCTGTGCTGCTGGCGGCGGTGGGAGCTAGAGTGGTGGGTCTGTGCGTCGATTCAGGGGGAGGGATCACTGCGGACGGATGCACAGGGGATGACGAGGACGGCTGGGTCCTGGAGGAGGGTCACACGATGGGCGGTTACACGAGGTTGGTTACCAGAGAAATGGTTACGTGACAGGTGGTTACGGTACGGGTGAGAGCAAGGGCACACTCAGCAGGAAACCAGCGAGATGTCCGGCGTGCGTAAAGAGCTGCTGAATGCGATATACAATACTGCAGCAGCTCGTGTTTGCCACGTGCTGGACCTTTATTGCTGGTTCGTTTCTGGAGGCACGAGGGGATCAATAGATGGACTTACTGCAGCAGCAGCTTGACCAGCTCTGCCTTGGTATCTCCGCGCAACCCTTTCTCCCTCGCCATCGCCCGCAGCTCGCCTAATGACTTCGCCTGAAGCGCCTTTGCCGCCGGATCATCCTCCGTCTTCGCCGCCGCTCTCACCGCCAGACGCGGCGAGCTGCGACGGCCATGTGACGCTGGTCGGCTGGTGGCTTGTGAGTGAAATGAATCGCAGCCATCCTTGAGAGTGGTGCTGACGAGGAACGACTGGGGAAAGCATTGTGGGGAAACGAGGAGAAAACATAGGAGTTGAGACGACGCGAGCATTGCGTCTACGACGGATGAATCCAAGTCAGACAATGCACGGCATTCGGGTAACGTGTGAGGAAATCACACCAGCGGGACTCGCATTGCTCGCAGTTCTGTGGCATTCGGGGGTATTGCACCTTCATCATTGCTTGACACCCCATGGCTGCCATGATATCTTCGTGCTCGGCACCTGCACAAATTTCTCCTGAGAGTGCTTGGTGATTCGGAAAAAATCACGGCTCGATGATAATGTAGGTGTCTGCGCTATTTACCAACGAGGCTTCTCGACAGCTGGTATTTATGACACCGTCCTGTCGTAGAAACACTACTAGTATCAGTCCTAGAATCAGCGCTACGAGAAATGGCTTTGAGTGTGATGGATGAATACTGGTAACAGTTCTGTATTTGATGCCAGCCAGCACTCAAAGGACACTGCGAAAGTACAAATGCAAGAGCGACGGGAAACCACGCATCGTTGTGTCTCGCGAACGCACGTCGCAGATCTTGCACGGACATGCTGTCAGACACCAACAGACATTTTCACCACAAGCGCAACCACGTGGCAACACCCTCATCCCTTCCTCGTTATCCAGTACATGCATTGAACTCTGATCTCCAACATCAAATACAGTAGGCATTACAACATAATGTGTTCCTAATGTTTGGCAGCATAAATATATTATCTCATTAGGCTGGTAGCAGCTGATGTGAACATGGATGTGAGAAAGCGCAAGCCAGTGGTGCCGCCAGGGAAGAAAGATACGACGTAATAAACAAGTGCAAGTACCTGTAGCGCAATAAACCAAACAGCATACATAAGAAACTGAATCCAGCAGACTGGCAGTCTGGCACCAAACACATTGTGTGGAAAATCAGAAAAATCTTATGGCAGACAGCAACTGAAGTCACAAAACGAAACACAACAAATATTCTGAAAGAAGGGTATGTCAGTCGACGCACCTGTGCTCCTGACGATATTACTGAAAGCAGGTAAGAGTGAAGAACCATTGAGCAGTAGATTGTGCTGACCATGCTCCCAACAAGGAACAACGAAAATGGGAGCCTCTGCAAGGGGAGCAATGAAGACAAAGCAAAAGATGTCATACCAGGACTCTCCAACTCATGCATCTCCAGATGCTGCATCAAAAAACGTCTTTCAGCCACTGGTAACAGCGCATAGCGTACCTCAGCGGAGGTCATGCTCTGGAGCTGCACCATGGGTCCTTTGAGCACAAAGAAGGAGCCCACCACGAGCAGGCAGCCTATTGTGAAGCAGACAGCGAACTTCTGAGGAGCGAGCACAATGACCGGGAGGAACATGGAGAAGGCAAGGAAGAGGAAGAACACGCCCGTCGCCAGCACCACCACGAAGTACATCAGGGCTTTCCGCGACGGCAGCACGTTCGCCTGCTTCTGTATGCTTCCTGGCAACTCCTGCACGTTCTTTGAAACACTGGAGGTTTCGGGTGAGGGGTATGCGAGGGAGAGAGGCGGGGTCACGGGAGGAATATGATTCAGTAAGGTCCGCATGTGCTGACATCCACAAGTGAATAGCATCATTACCAAAACGCATTAGAAGCTGGTATAATTCGAATTTCCAGTCGCGAACTAGATGCTGTCTCACCTCGACCATGTCGCATTGACGGAATCGGACGCGTTCTGAAAATACGGCGTGAAAGCGTCGAAGCTAAGTCCGGGAATCCCGCTAGCTGTTGCACCTCCTGAAGATCCGCCGCCACCTGCTCCAGACGACGACGCAACCTCGCCACTCTCCATGTCTAATCCACCACCCTGGGCCTCATACGCCCGCCAGCTATCCATGAGCGACACGGGCTCATCTCTAAAGCTAGGACCACCCTGAAACCACGAGTTGATCATCTGCATGTGATTGGGAAACAAGAGCGGATTTTGGTGTTCGCGCTGTCACTTGTCGAATCTGAAGAGGTAAAAGACGGCCTCGCAACGCGTTTATCGTGCTAGGTGTGCAGCCCCGATGATGACCTCCTCCTGAACATGATATTGCTCACGAATTTGGCACTGCCAAGACTAGGACGCTAGCCGTGTGTTTCCCCGCGTTTGTGTCAAGTTCAAGGCAAGGCTTCCCGCCAACTTTCTAGGTTTTTTGCATGTGTGTACGGAGGAGATCGAATTACACCATTCAATCAGACATAACAAGGTAGAGTAATAATGTAGATGCATTGTCTTGCTAGCGAGCGTTCAATGATCGCGTACATTCTCATTTTCCTGAAGTGTCAGTCAGTTGTCAGAGCCTTGACGTGCTGGCGGGGTTTCGTTGGCTGCTGGTTGCGCCCTCCACGTGGCATATTCATCGAACCGCTCTGGAGGACCACCACCTTCGTGGCGACTCGGCGAAGTCACGAAGCTGTGCAGTCGATGCCCCATCAGCGAAATGGCCCTTCTGGATCAGCAGCACTCGGGGTTTGGTTGAGGCTCGTGTAACGCCTCTGCGATGCTTCGCCAACCAGAACAGCACGAGGCGACAGTCATTACCGACTGACGAAAACTCGCACTGCGTCGTACGAGGGCTTGACGAACCCTTGATTTCGCCATACCAAAGGTCGCGAAAATCACCTGCGCCACGCATTTTCAGCTATCGCCCTAGGTTAGGGCAGCGAGTGCGGGGCAAGCAGCAGGGTGCGTTGCACAGTGATTACCAGCGCGCGCCTCGGACCCACATTTTGACATTTTGCGCCTCTTCCCTTCTCCTCTCCCTTGGCTATCTTCGTCGCCACTCTCCCGTCTCTCACTCCCATCCAGTGTCCGCTGCGGCGACTACGGACGGTTCATCCCAGCACAGCTGAACCACCCGCGAGCGTTACGCGCCTCTGGGGGCTCCTTGTCTGCCGCAGATTAGTTCCTTTCCTCGCAGTAAGGTGGGACGCCTCGCAAGCGCCGCGAATCAGGCTCCTGGACCAAAAGCAAGGGCTAGAGAAAGGCGAACCCTTGGGTTATGGCAATTTTGTTCGGAACCCTCAGGTCTCCACACCAAAAGCACTGCAGCTAGATATTCAGTCGCCTTTTCAATCAGCCGCCTGGCCACAGCACTGGCGGCAAAGCCAGCCTCGTCATACCAACCTCCCTTGATCTCCACCATTTCATTTTCCGAACTCACCGCCTGATCGAAAGATAGCCAGAGTTAGTGCTGGTAGGTGTTATGGAAGACACGGATGATAATCTTCCCGCCTTTGGGTTGGACCTGATATCTAGTTCGGCGGAAAAGGACATTCCCTTTCCGCGTCACTCGCCTTCTAGCTCCGCGACCTCCGCTGTAGACGCTAGCGAGACCGAGAACAGGAGCGGGGTAAACATTAGGCTAGGCCAATGCGGATCAGGCTTCACTGGGGCGGCGAACAGAAGAGCGGTGAATAGCGGAGCAGAAAATAGCGCCAATTCGGCTCAACACGTGCGAATAGGCTGCAGTGCACGCTCCGCGTTTCACCTGGTTGCGCCATCTTTGCAAATATCCCCTCCACGGCACGTCGGCCCAGCGCCTGCGACAGCAGGATGCGACCTCCCATCGCCCCTCACGGCCGATCGTCCTTCCACGTTCACGGGTGATCGACCGTCGTCCGTGTCGCACGTCCGCAAGGCCTGCCCCTCGTCGTCGTCTTCCGCCAACTCGAGCCTCGACCACAAAGCGGACAACGAAGAGCATTATAAAGAGGATGCCCCCTGCTCGCTTCGCCTCTCGCTCTCTCCGCCCCTTGTCGACGCGTCCCCCACCCCGCCGACGTCTCAGCGCTCCTCGCCCATCTCGCCAGGGTTCGAGCGCCAAGCAGCGCGCGAGGCGGACTGCGCGTTGCGCCTCTCCCTCTTCCCCGCGCCTCCGCAACACACGTCCCCGCCCCACAACTCACGGCCGTGCCTCGCACTGCCTACTGCGTCGCAGGTCAGAATGGCGCCGTGGCGAAACGTTGGCGAGAAAAGGCCGGTGGTACGAGGTTTGTCGTTGAACTTCGCAGACGCGAGCACCGTCGCCGTTCCGACGGCTGTGGTGTCGTTGGAAACACCTGCCGCCGCGAATGGATCTCTGCCGTCCAATGCGCTTCAGCTTCTCGACAGCGAGCCCGTGAAATGCGGCAAGAGGGATCTGACTGCGTTGGAGGGCGAGTCGTTTCGTGCATGCGGGGGGGAGAAGGGGAGCGGCGCGTCGCCGAACAAGAAGCCGAAGCACTGCTGGCGACCCGAGAAATGGCGACGTAAGTTTAATGCAATGTGGCAGCGCTAGCGAGACGTAAATTGCAAATGGGCAGCACGGGTAGTAGGCGATGCTGACGTGGCCCGTTGCTCGCATTCTGCGTGTTATGCGTTGCGAGGAAGGCTGTGTGTATTGTGGCTCGAAGCTTCTTAGCATCCCGCATTCACCCTGCTAACTCCGCGTTGGCACTAGGTCATAACAATTCTCCCCCTGCCTTTCCCCCTCTCCTCTCCTCTCCCCTTGTTCCCTCCTCTTTTCGTGTTCGCTACCCTTTCTGCCTCCCCCCCTCTTTCCGCCCTTTTCCTGCGCCCCTCTCCTCCGCGCCCGCCATCTCCCCTCCGCCTTCTCCCCAACAGCGGCGTTCCCTTGGGCGGAGCTGCACGTGCGCGCGGACGGGCGGCAGGCGATGCGGTGCTCACTGTGCCTGCGGTGGTGCGCGGACGAGCCCACGCCGTTCACGCGCGACGGCGCCGTCGACCTGCAGCGGAGCACTCTGCGGACACACGGCAAGTCCAGGTGAGGCCGCGTGGCACGTCCTGACAGTAAACGTGGGACACATCATCTTTGTACACTTTGCAAGCTTTTCTATTGCACGCGCCGGCCCTTCATGCCCGTCGCTTTTAACGCCTTTCGTGAGATCCTCCTTTCCCTGACCGCCCTTTTTTTTCTGCCCCACTCGGGTTTTTGTCTCTCCTCCTCCACCTCTGCCCCCGGCAGGTGTCACAAGAAGGCGGTGGAGAGAGAGGCCATGGCGGCCAGGGCTCACGGGCAACCTTCAATGCACGCCTCCACCTCTGCTGCTGCGTCTCTACCTGCTCCTCCCGCTCCTGCTGCTGCACTAGCTTCTGCTCCCGGTGCTGCTGTGACTCCTAACTTTGCAGCTCCTGTTGCACTTCCTAGCGCCCTCCTGACGTGCTCTTAGCGCATGCTTACGCACGTCTAACGCCTGCTGCCGTGGTGCTCTTGGCGCATGCTGAACGTTGCGCCTCTCTCCTTCCACCGGGGCTCGCCCACCGGCCACCCCCCTCCAAATCATGCCTTCCTTCAGCCTTCTTACTCCTCCCTTCCATGCCTCGATAAGGCGCGCCCCACTTCCTGCACGAGGCAGTTTTGAATGTAATTGGGAACCCTCTGCAGCGTTACACAACCAGGCTCAAACATCTCCAATCCCTGCAACCGCCCTCCATTCCTCTCAACCCCTCACTCACTGCAACTACTTGACTTCAACAGCTTTCACACGGGTCACTGATATTCTCACTCAGGGCGGTGAGAGGTACAAAGCGAGCCCTTCTATCCCACAGTATCGTGTTACGCTGCGTCATGCCGTGCTCTGCCGTGCCATACCATGCCAACTACACACGGCTCGAAGCACATGCGACTGCTTCCGTGGCCCTGCTGCGCTAATCTTCCTAAGCATCTAGCAGCTTTAGACCGGAGGCCCTGGAGGGTTCTGGTTGCTCTTTTTTCTGATGGCATAACCCTGTAGGATGCGCCAAAATTGTAGTGTAGATTGGAGTGGTTTAGATAGTTCAGGGTCTGATAGTCTGATTAGGGCTGCTAAGTTTGTAGGAGGTGGTTGTGTTGGTTTTCCAGAGATCATACCAGTAGTGCCCCTGTATTGTAGTGTTGGAGTGTACTATTATGAGTTTGTGTGTCTTAGTAATCTCGTGTGTCTCTTTGTCACTTGCCTCATGAAATGGCTGATGGACATAAGCAAGCACTGTCAACTGGCTGGCAGCACTGACCACTGGGCAGCTGAATGTTCCTTCGTTAAATTGTTTGTTAGGGATGCTACACTGACCAACTGCTTTAGGTACAAGTGCACATACAAGTTACATTTGGAACTATTCCAGCCGATGCCAGCCATTGCCATCAGCAACACTTTGACTAGAGTCAGCAGGAACCTAAGATGCTGCTGACTCAGCAAAAGGGGCAAGTGACACAAGCATGACAGTGATATCGTCCCTACTCCCCCGTGCTGCTGCCATGCCAACCAACGCCTGGCATGCACTCAGCAGCACCTCCCCATCCACCTCTCTTGTCTCTCTCTCACTCCCTCCCCTCTCACTACCCCCACCCCCACTGCAATCTCTTATCCCCTTCTCACTGTGGAAAGCCCCTTCAACCTTCTTGCTCCCACCACTTTCTGATTCCCTTTCCTCTGCCAGAACTGCGGCACTCGCTTGCTGCAATGTTGCTAAATTAGCTGGCCTCTCAGTTGCTACAACCTCCTCTGAAGTCCCTGCTGCTGCACTGTTTGGCCCCACACGCACAGAAGGCTCACAAGGGGTATCGAGCCACGGAGGTGTGAAGGGAGGGCGGGCTATGGAGCCGGGAGAGAAAAGGCGGCGGGGCGTGGGTGGGGTGGTGGTGGCAGTGGCAGTGGTCACGGCACTGGCAGTGCTGGTGTTAGTGGCGCTGCTGGGGATGCGTGGACGGGGAAGACAGGGTGGGGTGGTGGAGGCACGAGAATGGGGGGTGCAAGGAGGGGTGGTGGCTGTCATGTGCAAGCGTGGTGTGCATGGAGGCGTGCCTAGTGGACTGCTGAACGGATTCCTGCACTCTCTCTCGCGCACCCACTCCCCCCTCTCCTTCTCCCTCTCCTGCCGTGGCTCAACCGACCATCCTTGTGTGTGTTGCATGCGAGCCTGTTTGCACGGGGGGGAGGCAGGCGGTCCCAGCAGAGCAGAAGCTGCTGACCCCACCTCCCTCTCTGCTGCCTTCGCCTCCCCCGCTGCTGCCCGTACCTCCAATGCCGTGCCAACACAAGCCATGACCACGTCAGCGCCTTCTTGCGGTGCCACAACATCCCAGAGCCCGTCTGAGGCGAGGATGAGGGCGCTGCAGTCCGCCCCCACGCGCACCTGCGCCACGTCCGGCTGCGGCGTGATGAACGCCTTCAAGTGTGCATCGCCTATGCCCCTCGTGACGGCCAGAATGCCCTGCACGCGGGGCATGCCCGTGGCCGTGTCCACGAAGCCACCCTGCGGGCGAGGGGACATGGGCGGGAGAAGAGGGCCCGGAGGGGTGGGAGGAGCAGCACAAGAAAAAGTCAAACGGGGAACCAAGGCCTCCTTATACTCGATTCTTCCTCAGGTAAAGCTAAGCATGGCGCTGCTGGATCCAGTGACAGGGAGGTGGGACCTACCAGGGCAGTGATGCGGGCCTGCTCGTCTTCCCTGCCCGCCCGGTGGTCTTCTGTAAGCTCCACCGCTCTTCCCCCCTTCACCAGCACCGCCTTGCAGTCCCCCGCATGCGCCAGCAGAAGCCGCCCAGGCGTGGCCCAGCAGGTGAGACAGCTCGTGCCACTGGCGACGTTCTGTAGAATAGTGGTACGAGGGGCGATGCAGGGGCGCAGTGGAGGAACGAGAGGGAGAAGAGAAGTGAGATGGGGCAGAACAAGAACGGCAAGCGTCTGCAGAGACAACACTACGGCGGAGAGGGATGCCATTCAGCCGGCAAGACAGAAAGCACCCGGGCATCCTCACACGCACCTGGTCCAGGAAGCGCCTATCTGTCTCAAGGTACCCCTCCACCACCGCCGCCGCGCTGGCGTGCGCGCCTCTGCGCGCAGCCGCCTGCGCCACGTGGCTCGCCAGCTCCGATGCTGCGAACTTGGCGGCTGCCGTGCCGCCATGCCCGTCAAACACCCCGAAGAACGCCTGCAGCGGGACGCAGAGCGGTGTGGTTCAGAGCGGTAAGCAAGGGTGGAAAAACCATGACATGTATATCCACGACCCGCATATCCATGATACGCACAACCATGACTTGCAGAACACACAACCCCGGCCCCCTGCGCACGTTCACAGCTCTCGCGCCCAGCAAAACCCAGCAGTGCCTGGTGCGCATGTCCATGACCCCTCTATCAATGACACGCATCTCCATGACACGCATGTCCATGACCCCTCTGTCAATGACACGCATCTCCATGACACGTTTGTCCATCACACGCATGTCCATGACACGCAAACGCAGGGAAGATAACCCCGATCCCCCTGACGTCCACATCGCTCTCGCGCCCGGCGAACCCCATGAGCGCCGGGTACGTGTCCTCCATCCCCGCTTTCCACCCGCGCGTGTACGCCACGGCGACATGCAGACGCATGAAACGCACGTGCACGACACGCAAATGCAGAGTCGGTAGCTCCCCGCACTTACATCGCTCTCGCGCCCCGCGAACCCCATGAGCGCCTGGTACGTGTCCTCCATCACCGCCTTCCGCCCGCGCTTGCACGCCACCGCAAAGCACGCGCCGCTTTCCGCCACCTCCACCACGCCGTCCAGCGCATCCTCCGCCGCTGAATCCGGCGTGCCGGCCGGCGACGACGTGAAGCAGCCCTTACGCGGGATATCTATTGTCGGCGGCCGCTGCCGCTTGAACCGCGTTAAAGGACATGAGAGAACTGGGAGATCGCTAGCTGTGGGGCATGGTTGCGGGCTTGTGAGAGGGATTGCTTGAGGGCGAGAAACTGGGCTAGGAGATTTGCTCGTGGTGCTTCGGCTCGTCGGTTCCGATGCTGGTGAAGAAGTGTGCGCATCTGTTTTTCGAGCGTCTGGCTGAATCCGAGGTTCCCCTAAAGAAGGAAGATGGGGGATCGTGACACAATCGAAGGCCACGCATCGCCGCTTGGCTACCTCCCACATCCCTTCGCCGTCCCGCTCGTTGCGCGCACGCTTCGATACCGTGACACCCGCCGTGCCTTCTGAAAACACCATGTGCCGCTCGGCGTAGTCACGCGCAGGATCGCTACAGTCACCTTCTTCCTCGCGTAAACTCAGATCGGTGAACTCCTCGACGCTACATCCCTTGTCAGCGCCGAACGCGGGGCTCGTTACCTCCAGCTCCGGCTGGAGAACGCTGGATTCGGTATTGGACTCTATAGTTACCGACGTCGAACCGCGCGAAAGGGTTACCGAGTCAGCCGAGAGAACCGTTCTAGGCGAAGACGGGCGTAAGGCTATTAGCGAGTCAGAAGCCTGCGATGTCCCCGCAGGAACGCTATTACTTTGTCGCTGTTGGTTACCACTGGAAATCCTGGTTACCTGGTGTTTCTTCCTTGCCGGGTACGCTGTTGACTCTGTGGCATGGCACAAGAGCCGCTTCATAACTTCCGTCTAAACCAGCAACTAAAAGAATTAAGCGTGTCCTAAGTTTCCCTAATAAGCTGCATTCACGCATAGCCTGATCTGGATTCAATGTCGTGGTGGTGGAGAAGAATGAAAGGATCTAAACAGAACTGGCCAGGTTGTATGAGCACCGCAGCGACAAGCCTATCTGCTAGCCCTCTTGCCTCAACAATAAAAAAGTCAACTAGAACCAGCGTGACTGGCGCTCAACCATTCCATTGGGAATGCTTTGTGGTGTGTGAGCACTGCCGAAGCGACGCGAGGCGAGGGCATCGAATCGAACGTACAGCTGATGCTCACCCCATGCGCGCGAATTTGCCTTGCGCCGGATGGACACGCTGCACCCGAGGTTGTTTCCCCAGCTTCATGCACCCACATTACAAGCGCGTCAAGCAGAAGAGACCAAAGTCAAGCAGAAGAGACTGAAGTCAAACTAGGTAACTAGGTAGCAGGGTCTTGTTTATAAGCACATGCGAATTCTTTTTAGCTAGCTGCGAAATTGACGAACTTATGCGAAACGCACGATACAGCTTATATGCCCCCTTCACAAGGCAACCGGGAGGGGCTCAAACAGGCATCAGGAGTACAACGTACGGAAGTCATTTCTGTCTGCTTATCTCGGAATTGACAGCTAAAACACCACAGGGAGCACAGCAGAACGACGTTGAGCCCAGCAGAGCAACAGAGCAGAGCAGAACCATGAGTCTGCCCGTGGCACTGTTCAGTTCACTCTCATCCACCAACTCAACTCGCGCAACTCTCAATGGGCCTCGAGTCCTCGACAAGCGGAATCCCCGCCAAGTTGGTGACACCAACCAGTCACCCAAACCAAAATCCTGTGTTGTACAGAGGAGGGTTTTCCTCCGAGCCTAGAGTCCAGACCAGACTCTACAGAAGGTAAACAGGTTCCGGACCTCGATTTCGTGCCAGCCAGCTCTCCCAGCCAGCCCAGACCAGTCCAGCCAATTTCGAGGCTGTCGGGAGTCACAACACGACCAATTTGAGGGGGCGCTGACCGTCGCGACAATACCAATGAGGCCTGGCCGATGACGTGGCCAAAAAGGACCGGGCGTGTGGCCCCAGGCCCCCAGCCCCATCTAGGGCGGAGCCGGTTGGGGGGGTCTGGTGCACAATGCAGGGTTGCGGAAAGCGTCATGCAGGAGCGATTCAGCAAGGAGATGGGGTGGACGCACCTCTTGTGGCCAATCAAATTCGAAGCGATTCGTCAAAGAGTAGGTGAAACTTGAAATATGTGGGTTGGGGGCAGATCCCGAGATGGACCAGTAGGAAGCGCAATCTTCGATAGAAGGGTTAAATGACGTGATTGTGGTGCTGTACGAAGAATTGAAATTCCATTTATATATACCAGTACAATCAGAAGGGCGCCTTGCACCCACCATCAGCACCTTTATTAAAGGCTGATCTCATCATATTCTATCAGTGCATGGGCAATTTACATCATATCGCGCAACCATCAGCTACCGTATTATATCAAACCCTGCTGTTAAAGTTACATCTACCCTGCTTGCTGCTAGGTGTAATGTGGTTACATACTTGGTGGTGCACACTCTCTTGCTGTGCTGTGCTTCTACTTGTTTGTTCCCCTCTATAGTCCAATCCTCTTTTGCCTATCCTCTCGCGCCATCCTAAGCCTAAGTCCAAAACACCTACGTACCGTGACATACGGTAACAACTCTCCAATCATCCTCACGGCTGCCATCTGCGGACCTGGGTGTTCATCAACATGGGTGTTTAATGTCCTGGGTGAGCACCCCTTTTTAACACGAATTGTAGGTCTGCCATTCCGTGTCAAATGTTGTAGCCTGTAGTGAGGTTTGTCTTAGGGGGTACAGAAGTTAGGGTTTGTCATATGTACCCCAACCAACATCAATGGAACATTCATTCCTTATTCTGGCATGGTATCAGCTAGGTTAGGATCCTGTGGGATCCCGTTCCTCCGTTCTCCGTTCGTACCTCCCGAGCCTGATCCTACCTCTCGTTCGTACCAGTTTCGTTGTTACCGCGCCTAGTACCGAGCCTAGCGCCATCTCCCCCGTCGCGTCACGCCCGTTCCCCCCCGTCGTGTCGCGCCCGTTCCCCCCGTCGCGTCGCGCCCGTTCCCCCCGTCGCGTCGCGCCCGTTCCCCCTATCGCGTCGTGCCCGTTCCCCCCGTCGCGTCGCGCCCGTTCCCCCCCGTCGCGTCGCGCCCGTTCCCCCCGTCGCGTCGCACCCGCCTGTTACCCCCCCCGTCCCGTCGCCCTGTCCCGTCGCGTCGCCCTGCCCTGTCCCGTCGCCCTGTTCCGTCGCGTCGCCCTACCCCGTCGCGTCGCCCTGCCCTGTCCCGTCGCCCTGCTCCGTCGCGCCGCCCTGCCCCGTCGCGTCGCCCTGTCCCGTCGCGTCGCCCTGCCCCGTCGCGTCGCTCCCGCCCTTTCCCCCGTCGCGTCGCCCTCCCTAGGCCCTGGCCCGGCGCCCTCCCTAGGCCCTGGCCCGTCGCCCTCCCTAGGCCCTGGCCCGTCGCCCTTCCTAGGCCCTGGCCCGTCGCCCTCCCTAGGCTCTGGCCCGTCGCCCTACCCTAGGCCCTGGCCCGTTGCCCTACCCTACGTCTTGGCCCGTCGCCCTAGCCCGCTCTTCCGCTGCGACTGAGTCCTCTTCCCCCCCGGTTGTTACTCGCCTGTTCGTTCGCGTTGGTTCTCACTATGGCGACTCCGCGAGTTCTTCGTTTCGACGCCGACGGTAGACCCCTTGACTTTTCCGTCTGGCTTCTTCGCGCTCGTCGTCTGTTAGAGAGTCAGGTCCAGGGGGGCGAGACCCTCTGGTCACACGCTACTGGTGACCTCCCCGAGCCCCCCGAGCCTACAGCTTTAGGCCCTGCTCCTGACGACGCTGCTACGGCTCGCTTTGCCCGTCAGCGCGCTGACCGGACGGCTTGGACGTCGCGTGACGCTGCGGCCTGCATCGCATTCAGCAGCCTCCTCCCTGAGTTCGAGGAGGTCCACTTTACTCAGGTTCGCACCGCTGCTGCGTACCTCACTGCGATTAAGGCCCGCTACTCTACTCCCGCTACTGTCTCTCTCGGCCGTCTTTTCCTCCCGTTCCTGTTTCCTGATCTTGCCTCGTTTGAGCGCTCTGCTGACTTGATCGCTCACCTCCGCTCGCTCGACGCTAGTTACCGCGCTGCTTGCACTGAGGCACAGCTTGCACTGCTTCCTCCCCCCATGGCGATTACTGTCTATTTCATCGCCACTAGCCTCCCTGACCGCCTTGCCTCTGTTCGTGACGCGCTTCTGCTGAAGCACCCTAGTGAGCTGACTATCGAGGTCCTTGAGTCTGCACTCAAGGACGTCGAGAGCAACCTTCGTTCGGTAGCTGCCGCCTCTGGTACTGTGTCCCCCCCACTCTTCCACGGGTGCACATTCCCGCAGTTACCCACCTTCACTGCCTCTCTTGCCACTGCCGCTACTGACGCGACTGCGGCTGCTGTTACGACTGCGTCGCGGTCCCGCGGCAGGGGGGGGCAAGAAAGGTGGTTCCGGTGGAGGTGGAGGCGGCGGTAGCGGAGGTAGTGGGGGTGCTGTTGCGACTGGCGGTGGTGGGAGTGCAGCGTCTGGAGAGACCCCTCGTGCAGCGGCTGGTGACTCCACTGCACCTGCTGGTGGCGGCGACCCTCGAGCTCGTCAGTCGCCTCCTGTACTGCCGGCCCCGCTAGGTGGAGCAGCGACGTGGTACCAGGCTCAGCGTCAGCAGCACCTTCAGCAGCAGCAGCAGCCCCTTTCCTCCCAGCAGCCTCAGCAGCAGCAGCGTCAGCAGCTGGCTCCGGGGTCGGGGCTGCGTCAGCCCCAGCGCGGTGCTGCTTACCCTCCCTGCCCCTACCAGGTTCAGAC